CACACACACACACACACACACACACACACACACACACACACACACACACACATACACACGTCATTAGACAATTAAATATTAAATTATACTTAAATCACCCTGTGTGTGTGTGTGTGTGTTTTCAGACTGCAGATAAGATCTTCACCTCGAGCATCCTCCTGCACACCCTGCTGTTCATCAACTCCACCGTGGAGAGTCAGGCGGCTCTGCTCGACGCAAGCAGGCCCGTTGCCAAAGAGTTCAAGGGCAAGGTAACACAGTGTGTTTGTGTGTTTGTGTGTGTGTGTGTGTGTGTGTGTGTGTGTGTGTGTGTGCGCGTGTGTGTGTAGGAAAGTGTCATTGAAAGTGATTAAATATTTAAAACAATTAAAGTTAAATTCAACCTTATGCCCTGTTTGTGCACATGTGTGTGTCTGTGTGTGTGTGTGTGTGTGTGTGTGTGTGTGTGTGTGTGTGTCATGTAGATGCTGTTTATTGTAATCGACGTGACAGACGCCATGTCTCATGTGCTGACATACTTTGGCGTGTCCGAGACCGACGCCCCCACCGTTCGCATCATCAACATGGAGACAGGAAAGAAGTTCAACATCGACACCAGTGACCTCAGTGCAAACTCACTGCGACGCTTGTGCCAGGAGGTCGTGGAAGGCACTGCCGAGGTTGAAACACACAAACACAAATTATTTACTCCACTCCAAAACTCCATTTAAATATAGTGTAGTATTTTTTACTGCACTACATTCATCTGACAATGTTAGCTACTCCAGACTTTTCAGATTATATAAAAATGTCTCCATGGGTTCGATTGTCAGACATGTGTACGAGCTGTAATCAGTATCAAACCTCTCAGATGGATTCACTTTAATCATTTTAATTATCTATAATAGTTCATAGTTCCTGTAGGTGAACTGTAGGTTTCTGTCATTTTAGTTCGTGCTCATTTATCTGCTCGGTTTGGTTTTAATCAGTTGTATAAAAATGTGTTGAGACGTCATGATTGACAGCTGAGACTGACTTGTGATTACAAGTCCCAACAATTCAAATTTCACATACTCTAAATTATCGTTTGCCTAAATATGCCTCATTATTTTGTTGTTGCAGCCGTACTATCGCACAGAGGAGGTCCCAGAGGACTGGAACAAAGGACCTGTCACAGTCCTGGTGGGGAAGAATTTTGAATCTGTTGCTCTGGACACGACCAAAAACGTCTTTGTGGAGTTTTGTAAGTCAGTGTGTCTGACTGCCCCAGAGTGAAATGTGCACTGTGAAAACTCAGACTGGTACTAAGTGTGTGTGTGCGTGTGTGTGTGTGTGTGTGTGTGTGTAGATGCTCCATGGTGTGGACACTGTAAGGAGCTGGCTCCCATCTGGGAACAGCTGGGTGAGAAGTACGCTGACCACGACGACATTGTCATCGCCAAGATGGACGCTTCAGCCAATGAGCTAGAGTCAGTCACTATTCAAGGATTCCCCACGCTCAAATATTTCCCAGCCGGCGGCAAAGAGGTAAACACACACACACAAACACACACACACACACACATATTATATTACAGCTTTTGATTATGTCTTTCTGTTTCTTCCAGGTCGTCGAATACACAGGAAAGAGAGACCTGGAGACTTTCTCTGAGTTCCTGGACAATGGAGGAGTGTTACCTGAGGAGGAAAGTAAAGATGAGGAGGATGAAGAGGATGAGGAAGATGTGGATGTGGATGTGGATGTGGATGTGGATGTGGATGTGGATGATGATGACGATGATAAGGAGGGTGACAAGGTTTGTATTCTTTTATATTTCTACATCAAAATATCTCCTGTCCCCTCGACCTCCTCTCATCCATTCATGTAATTATTTCTCTTTCAGGACGCTGACGACTCCGCAGAGGTGCCGACCAACACAACAACTAAAGATGAGCTATGATGTCACTTTGAGCCAATCAGAGTCCACATTGCATCTTCCAGTTTTCTTAATAAAATGAATTTGGGTTTAAACTGTGGATGATTATTTTGAAATGACCTTAAACGCTGCATAGGTTATTTTAGGATAGAAAGAAAGAAAAGAAAAGAAGGAACAAGGAATTTGATTGATAGATAGAAACGTGTTCATGAGTCATGTTTTTATTCCTAAATGTTAAAGTCAAATAAAAACCACTAACATAAACCCTGTTGTGACAAGAGTTGAGAAATGTAATACCATCCATCAGTGGTGGAATGTGGGTTAGGGTTATTTAAAAAAAAATTGTTATGTATGTAGTATTTCATGTATCTTTACTAAAAATTGATTTTTTTTCATGTACTTGTAATCCACTACAGGCAGTATTTTTGTAAATATCTATACTTACATTGTTACCTCCACTAAGGAGTTTGTTTTTGTCACATTGTTTGGTAGTTAGCAGGATTACAACAGAACAAAAAAACTAGAATGACATACACTCATATATATCAGTTCCCTAAATTATTGTTTAACATCAAGATCCATGAATTCTTCCCTGGGACAATAGAAAAAATGTCAAAAAACGTCTCACGATGTTCAAGAAGTTGATGAAAACAGATCCAGGATCCACACATGACTGAGCGGCCTCTTCCCTGACCCACAACACACCCCTCCATCTAGTTTCCGTGCAGTATTTTTTGTGTAGTCTTGCTTTTCGACAAAAAGCAAACAAACCAACCAACAAACAAATTGACAGGCGAGAAAACAACACACACACACACACACACACACACACAGAGCCAAAGTTATTTACATACACAGCGAAGGAAAAACAACACGAGTGTGGAGAGAAAGAAAGTAAAAACAGTGCGAGAGAACGATGCAGTAAAAGACACAAGAGAGAAATAAATAAAAGATGAAATAATGACAGATATGAGCACATTGATAAAAATATAAATGGTTAAGTGAATTTCACACATGCAGATTTACTATCGGGTGTTTGGGTAATAACTGTGTGCTAAAGGCAGAGGATGAGTTTTCATGTGGGAACAGGTTTGTGTAAGAAGGTGAAATCCAGAGGGAAACAGGTGAAGAGGGTTGGTTTTCAGTCTGTGTGAAGTAAAATGTTTCTAATTCCAGAGGAAAACTGGTTCAACAGGCTGTGATGTCACGTCTGTCACCAGCCCGGTGTGTTTCCTCTAGCCGAGCTTCCTCGTTCGTCCAAGGACCACTGCTCTGACAGATCTCACACATCACACACTTTAACCAGAGACGGAGGACGGGTCGTCACAGGCAGCATTTGGAGTTGGTCGGAGGAGGCTTGGTGCCCTGTTTTGGATCAGACACCAGGGCTCGGATGTTTCCTGTTTACAGAAGAGAAGGTACACATGTGAGGTAGAGTCACACATCTGTGTTCAGCAGCCACGTTTATTTACTGGTACGGCTGCTTTTAATGTGACGTAATGCGAAGGCATGAAAAAACCTCCTCGTGGAGAAGCAAGATCCAGGGTGATCTGTGAGTTCAGGGCCACACACGACACTGATGGTGTGTTGTTGTTGTAGTTGTTGTTGTGAATCACAGTAAATGACTGAACGACTGAGCTGTGATTAGCTGAGAGTGAGTTTTTTTTTTTAAAGGTTAATACTTCAAGTTGATTCTGTGAAAGTAAAACTGCTCTGGAAAAACATTTTATAGAGACATTTATTTTACAGTAAGAAACTGAAGAGTTAGTATCAGTGCGACTTTACTGTAATGTTGCAAGTGTGTGTGTGTGTGTGTGTGTGTGTGTGTGTGTGTGTGTGTGTGTGTGTGT